ACACTGTATTTAGCCTTGGAAATGTTTTGAAATTCAAAGGCAATAAAATATTTGAAAGATAATGCTGTATTCAGCACATCTCACAAGGGTTGATGAAATGCAACCATAAACCGCATTGATGAAGTGCTGAAAAAATAATAAATTATTCAATTTTACAGTTAAACATTAAAAGCAAAACACGTATCCAGTAAAATGTAATGGGATTTAGTATTGGCAGCAAAGAGTTAAGAATTAGTTGGAAGGAGTATTAAAAGTGAAGCAGCCTGGTGTTGTGTGGGCTTTGGCTCTTTCTCCCAGCATCCAAAAGTCAAGGACACAGTCTAAGCTGGGACGACAGAGGACAATCTAAATAACTATCTGTATCACTGTACCAAAGCCACAAGCATAGCAGCTGGGTGTAGCCTGTGAGTTGTTGCCAAATGGATATGACAGTTCGCTCCACTGTAGATCAGTGAAACCATGGAGCCTCGCTGAGTCTAGAGCACAATGATGAAAAATTAATTCAGACACCAAAAAAAATTAAGTGCCTCCGGAAGAGTGTGTAGTCTGTCCCCAGAGGTTGTTCTCTTGGCATTGAGGTCTGCTTTAAATGTGTCTATTCTGAGTGGAACCCAGCAGCTTGTAATGCGACCTAAGTAACTGTCTGCTGAATGAGAGTCTGAGCTTTAGTCCCACCATATGTTTTCTCACCGGAATATCAAAGCCGGTAAATTTAAGTAAATGATTACATTGCAAACAAAGGGTAACAAGATGACCTACAAGATGTGTTTTAAATGGTGTGGTCAAATGTGTGCTTGTCAGATGGCCTCAGAAGAAAAAACAAAGAAAAAACGCTCCTGTTAACTATGGTGAAAAAAAGGGTTGTTGTTGGACACCGTTTTTAAAGTAAGGCTACTCAGTGTGTGGGCTTTGGCACTACCACTCAGAATCCCTACGTCAAGGACACAACCTAAGAGGATATGGCAGGGGCCAATCCAACCATCTGTATCATCCCACTCAAGCCACAAACAAACATATCTGTTTACTTTTAATATCAGAAGAAACTACTGAACTCGCTGGAGTAAAGCCAGACTACCGTACTTCCATTGGCCTCTGCAGCTAATTTGTATCTAAATTTGACTTGCCCCTGAATAGTTTGGGTTCCTGTTAAAGCTTGTTTTATAAAGATATAACAAGTTGGGCTGCGGAGGCGGCGGGGGGGGGTCTGCACTAGTTTACCCACCGCAGAAGCAAAGCAGGTGGCCAGGTTGATGACAATGAACAGACAGCATTGGTGGCCTAATTTCTTCATGTCAGACAACACCATATGGCTCCCCTTCTCCCCTCTACCTATTTAGAAACTGCGTCCACATAAGTATGCAAGTATCGTAGTCTTCACAATTAATTAAAAAGGGGATAAAACAGGATGCACTTCATTCTATACACTGTAAAAAAAAATGAACTATTAAGGGAAAAAACATATCCCCCAGGTATTTATGTGTTGTGTATGGCATGTCCTTGAAAGCAGCAAGGTTTCAACAGACAGCGTACTTTTTTTTCCCTCGACACATCTTCAAATTTTGCATAAAATGGAGACAAGGCCTTTCACTGTAGTGGAGCACTCATATGGAAAAGCGGAATACATTTAATTAATCTTTCTGACCTTTAGTGAACGTTTCACGAAATGAAAAGAAAGCCTTGCTTACCTCTCCACCACCATCCAACTTGTTTTCAGGGCAGAAAAAAAAAGGTTTGATAAACAATTTGAAACCCCTACATTTTGAAAATGTATTGCCGTAGACCATAATAACATTTATGTACTTTCAAGGGCAAGCCAAACCTTTTAAACTTTAGAGTGTTTGTATTGATAATGAATAACAACACCACAACACCACTGCTTTGGCTGTCTGCAGCTACGTATATTATAATAATGATATGAAAAATCTTACAAGGAAAGCCTTAAAAATCTCAGCCAATGATTCTTTCCAAAAATGAAACTTGAAAGGGCTTTGTGACAGCGTCGCCTGCACACCACCACGAGAAGTGAGAGGCTCAAAGCTAGGATTTATTCATAACCATGTGACTGGTGACAGTGATCGCTGACACGGAGTCTCTCAAAGCTGAGGTGGTGACAGGTAACAGGGTAAACTATGTGCGCCATGGAGACAGGCCAATCCCTTATGTGGCAGCAGAATATGGCACCATATGGCTCATACGTTGCACACTGCATTGGAAAGTAGAACACATGATTTATTTCTGTTTGTATTCAACATTTATTGTTTTAATGCAATAGGAGCTTTTGCTGATGTTTATTTGGGTCACATCAATTACAATAAGTTTGCAAATGTAGAATAATTAAGTTAAAAGCAAGTAGTCAAACTTGCATATGGTATGTTGTTATTTCATTGAAGGGCAATTTGATACAATCCAAGATATTCATTTCCAGCTTGAGCCTAAAATGTTCCATTGTTCAGAGCTGAGTGTAAAAAAATTAAATGACGGACGTGATCAAAACATATCCAAAGTTGTAATAGTTATTATGCCTGTTATGATTATAGCATTTAATCCATTTAATTTGAATTCCATTTACGTCAAAACCCCAGGGATCATTCCCAGGTGTCATCTTAACACAGAAATAAGACCGTAGACAAAAGCAGAAAGTTTTCAGCGAGAAAGTGGTGAAGGGCTCTTGACACCCCCCCCATGGGTTCCCAGCAACATCATGCAGCGGGGGACAAATAAAGCAGAAAATGGGTTTGTGCAGCACACAATAGCACGTAGATAACAAAAAGAACAAGTATTGAAAATGTCCTATGGGGACAAGTTTACCGAAATGCCTTGTCTGTGAGACTGTGGAATGCCTAGCTCTTAATGGCGCACTAGTGGGGGTCACCATTAAGTGACAAAACAATATCAGCAGGGAAACATTTGCATCGCGGTGTACAAATATGCAAGTTGTCAGGCATAGCAAGCCTGGCCTTTTCAGCGTGACAGCAATCCCTTTAGGTGTGAGGCTAGTGCAGCTCAGTGGCGCAGGGGACGGCAAGAGATTTGGTGGTGGGGGTACCGGGGGGGCTGCGGAAGTTGCATGCAGTGAGGTGTGTGTCAGGGCACCAGAGACAAAGCAATGATTACACACAATGAGGAGAGCAGAGCGCACGCTGACACTAATGCAGTCCGAGGGGAGACACGAGACAGAGCACTTGTGACAACTGTGAGAGGGCGTCACTCCTCTGACAGACGGCATTATGGGTACCAAATAGAGCAAATTGTTTTTTTTCCTGCACTGGTGATATTTTAAGTTATTAACAAATAACCCTGAAAGAATTAAAAAAGTTCAAAATAATAATACAAAAATCTGTTATATACATAAATAATGTTTAATCCTGAAAGTTTTAAAAGTCAAACAAACTATGTCAATATTTAATTTTAAATATCGCAATAGACTGTTTATCCATTGGTGCAACAAAACCATTGGATTTAAGTTTCCATAAGCAGTGACAAAAAACCTTTTCAATAAAAATAACAACTGGGGAGTTAGCATAATGAGCAAAAGACCCTGCCTGAGTCCACGATCAACACTGGGAAGCAAACAACAACCAAAGAACATTTAAATAGTACAATTTAAAAAAAGTTTGAAAATGTTTAATTGTAATTCTTGTTTGATTTTGTTTTAAATAAATGGTGCCAGAAACATAATATTTGTTGGATGAAAACATTAGGGATACATTTAAGCTCCTATTGCTATGAAAGGAATTCAGATCCATTGCAAGACCGCTTCTTAAGATGGTACTGTTGTCCACATACTACTGGCTCTGTATTTCTTACAAATCCCAAAAAGTTGTATAGCATAACGTTTATGTTTCTAAGAGTGTAAATCATCAATCAATCAATCAATGTTTATTTATATAGCCCAATATCACAAATGTTACATTTGTCTCAGTGGACTTCACAATTTGTACAGAATATCAGTATGACAATACGACACCCTCTGTCCTTAGACCCTCACATCGTACAAGGAAAAACTTCCAGAGAAAACCCACAGTTTAAAGGGGAACATGGGAGAAACCTCAGGGAGAGCAACAGAGGAGGGATCCCTCTCCCAGGACGGACAGACGTGCAATAGATGCCGTGTGTAAATTGAAAAGATAATACATTTGCAACATAGGTAGTCCAAATGTTTGGAAATGCATGTGTGTATAATAGGAAGATGAATCCACGAGTATATCCATCCAGGACTTATGATCCAGGACCACAGCCACGACTCAAGATCCAGGACTCGCGATCCATGAAGTCCTGGATGGATATACTCGTGGATTCATCTTCCTATTATACACACATNCTAGCTTTATGGCAAAGGGTGTTAGAGATTAATTTTTGTTTTCATATTAGTTTTATACACGCCTACACACAAACTACAAGATTGACAATAAAGTTGACTTTGACTTTGATTATAGCTCCTTCAAACATTTTCAAAGTTGTCTCAGTTGGCCTGCAGGGGGCGCAACAACATCTGTATAGTAACCTGAACACTGGGCCTCATCTGACAGGCGAGAGGAAACAGGACTAAATGCTTTGAGTGTGAGGTCGACTTTGCAGCTGAAATGTTGATACATCGAAGTTGTCTCAGTTCCAGTGAAAACTTCTTAAACATTTGTAAAGTTTTGATGGAACCGAGATATCAAATATATAGACTTTAGAAACATCCTGGTGTTTCTTTAGTGACATCTGATAATGAACTGTTTTCTTTAACAGCCTCTCCCCTCTCTTGAACACACAATCAATCAATCAATCAATGTTTATTTATATAACCCAATATCACAAATGTTACATTTGTCTCAGTGGTCTTCACAGTGTGTACAGAATATCAGTATGACAATACAACACCCTCTGTCCTTTGACCCTCACATCGTACAAGGAGAAACTTCCAGAGAAAACCCCACAGTTTAAAGGGGAACATGGGAGAAACCTCAGGGAGAGCAACAGAGGAGGGATCCCTCTCCCAGGACGGACAGACGTGCAATAGATGCCGTTTAACAAAGCTGTTTTCCAGTAGATTTGGTTAGGGGTGTGTCCAGGTGTCTCTACCAAGAGGTATGTGTACCTGTGTGTGCATTGTCTATACTATTTGAGTCTTTATTTAAAACCTTTAATCTGTCCTTAACACACAACCCCCTTACCTCTTTTTCAGCACAATATGTATGTTTTCTCATTTTGGCGAATGAACAAAAAGCATATAAAGCTGCTGGGACACTAAGTCTCTCGCGGCAGCTCTCCAGCTGCAGACAAGCCGAGACAGAATCACCTGACCTCACATCTGCCGCTTTGACTGACTTGCAGGGTCTTGCTCTCCTAATGTGTTTTTCTGACTTATCGTACAGGTTGGATGAATGTTGGTGTTAAAGCTGGTGTAAAGTGAACTACATGATGAAGGAATGTCCTATGTGGCAGTAAAGTAGAGAACTTCCTGTCGTCTCTACCTGTCTCACTCATTTCACTCATTCTGGTTGCAGCTTCTCCAATGTGAGGGTTAACTGCTTTTCTTTTTGGAAAGTTCCTTCAGTTCCATCTGAACAGACGTTTGCAATGGAACATTGTGGTTAAACAATTACTGAAATATTTGTTCTTGTTATTTCTTTTTGTGACAGCCATTGTTATGTCGCAGTGATGTTATGGTTTAGTTTGAATTATTTTACAAGTAAACTACCAGCTGTGAGTCTGGATAATAACATGGTTAGTTTCCGCTTTAACTATTTCATGTAAAGTCTTTCTCCTCATATTCCCTCATTTTTAAATAACATTTTTTTTACAATCCTTTATTTTTTTGTTGTTGTGTCTTTAGGACTTTTCCTCGACGTGTGTTGTGTGGTTTTATTTATACACTGCTGCCGAACAGAGACAGAGAAAAGTCTTTCACATGAAGTCTTTCTCTCGGCATTGAAGTGGGTTCTTTTGCTTAATCCACAGAAGAGAACCAGCATTCATGTTTAATAAACCTGTCTCTCATTGTTTCTGATCAACTTGATAATATTGAACTTCTTTCAGCCTGTTTTACTGTCCTTCTTCACTATCCTGCGGCATGTTGGCAGTGTCTTCCCTTAGACAGTGAGACAGTTCTGTCTCACCCTCTTTTTATTTATTTATTACTCTCTCTCACTCCCTCTCTCCTTTTTGTCCCAGCTGCAGAACAAATCCTGGCTTTCCCTCACAGCTCTGTTAGCCTATTCTGCTCAACACAACTGCCCTACGATCTGAGAGACACCGAGAAATAAAACAGACACACACACACACACACTTTGAGTTTCATCACACAGCACACACACACAACTCTCCTGGAGCTCCTGCAGAACCGGAGGAGAAAAAAGGGTGGAAGAATTTGGCCTCAAATCCTGCCGCCGCCTGCAAACTGCTGGTAAAGTATTGCTAATGTCTGTCTGTCTGTCTGTCTGTCTGTCTGTCTGTCGCTTTAGCTCCTCCCCTCTCTGTCTGTCTGTCTGCCTGCCTGCCATGCAGCGGTTTGTAAACAGTTGTTACAGTTCCTGTAGATGATCTTCTTAAAAAAGCCTAACTTGAAGGATAACGTAAGAGCGTCTGTGCTCTTCCTGGTTTTGATACAGCACTCTCTGACTTTCCTTTCAGCTCACTGATGATGTTCTGTGTTCAAAATAACTCTTTGGGGAGTTTTTAAACTAAACATGGTAGCCCACTTCTGCTCAGGTTTTTTAATTAATTTGTGTAAACCTTGCTTTCAATTTAAAGAATTTAAAGAATTTAAACAGGAAGATACACAAAAACATAATCACTTACGAGATGTTGAATGTGATTTACAACAGCAGAGTTATGCACGAGCCAACAACCGAGTTAGAACATGGTCTGTAGCTGTGTCTACGAGACATGATGAGACACAAACCCAGGGCCTTAAGCCTAATGTTAAAGAGGACATATTATGATACATTTCAGGTTCATATTTGTATTGTGTTTCTCTGCTGTGACATGTCTCCATGCTTTAATGCTCAAAAACCTCTTTATTGTTCTCATACTGCCTGTGCTGCAGCACCTCTTTTCACCCTCTGTCTGAAACCAGAGCCCAGTCTGCTCTGATTGGTTAGCTGGCCAGCTCTGTTGGGATTAGCTAACTGCTTAGAGA